ACCCCCCCCCCCCCCGTCCAAATGCATTTACACATTTCAACACATTTTATTTATGCACATCAAGAGACTCGGTCGAGTCTCGCGCCAAGTACAGGCAACCGGCTGTACAGGGCACAGCTCGCAAAGACTCTTTACTTGAGTCAACTCTTTCACAATAGTATAGAATTATTAAAACTTTCATGTGGAGCGCGTGTGTATTCGGGTACGTATGTGTGTGCGTGGACATAGTTCCTCGTATTTTAGATGACAATTTTTAGAGATATAGGATTTCCAGATGTTCCTCTTCGTAGTTTCCTGTATCTAGGTGTCGGATGTGAAAGTCCAGGGTGTCCCGGTGCTCCGCTCCGTAGTTTCCTGTATCTAGGTGTCGGATGTGAAAGTCCAGGGTGTCCCGGTGCTCCGCTCCGTAGTTTCCTGTATCTAGGTGTCGGATGTGAAAGTCCAGGGTGTCCCGGTGCTCCGCTCCGTAGTTTCCTGTATCTAGGTGTCGGATGTGAAAGTCCAGGGTGTCCCGGTGCTCCGCTCCGTAGTTTCCTGTATCTAGGTGTCGGATGTGAAAGTCCAGGGTGTCCCGGTGCTCCGCTCCGTAGTTTCCTGTATCTAGGTGTCGGATGTGAAAGTCCAGGGTGTCCCGGTGCTCCGCTCCGTAGTTTCCTGTATCTAGGTGTCGGATGTGAAAGTCCAGGGTGTCCCGGTGCTCCGCTCCGTAGTTTCCTGTATCTAGGTGTCGGATGTGAAAGTCCAGGGTGTCCCGGTGCTCCGCTCCGTAGTTTCCTGTATCTAGGTGTCGGATGTGAAAGTCCAGGGTGTCCCGGTGCTCCGCTCCGTAGTTTCCTGTATCTAGGTGTCGGATGTGAAAGTCCAGGGTGTCCCGGTGCTCCGCTCCGTAGTTTCCTGTATCTAGGTGTCGGATGTGAAAGTCCAGGGTGTCCCGGTGCTCCGCTCCGTAGTTTCCTGTATCTAGGTGTCGGATGTGAAAGTCCAGGGTGTCCCGGTGCTCCGCTCCGTAGTTTCCTGTATCTAGGTGTCGGATGTGAAAGTCCAGGGTGTCCCGGTGCTCCGCTCCGTAGTTTCCTGTATCTAGGTGTCGGATGTGAAAGTCCAGGGTGTCCCGGTGCTCCGCTCCGTAGTTTCCTGTATCTAGGTGTCGGATGTGAAAGTCCAGGGTGTCCCGGTGCTCCGCTCCGTAGTTTCCTGTATCTAGGTGTCGGATGTGAAAGTCCAGGGTGTCCCGGTGCTCCGCTCCGTAGTTTCCTGTATCTAGGTGTCGGATGTGAAAGTCCAGGGTGTCCCGGTGCTCCGCTCCGTAGTTTCCTGTATCTAGGTGTCGGATGTGAAAGTCCAGGGTGTCCCGGTGCTCCGCTCCGTAGTTTCCTGTATCTAGGTGTCGGATGTGAAAGTCCAGGGTGTCCCGGTGCTCCGCTCCGTAGTTTCCTGTATCTAGGTGTCGGATGTGAAAGTCCAGGGTGTCCCGGTGCTCCGCTCCGTAGTTTCCTGTATCTAGGTGTCGGATGTGAAAGTCCAGGGTGTCCCGGTGCTCCGCTCCGTAGTTTCTTGTATCTAGGTGTCGCATGTAAAAGTCCAGGGTTTCCAGGTATTCCTCTCCGTAGTTTCCTGTGTCCAGGTGTTGGATGTGGAAGTCCAGGGTGTTCAGGCATTCCGCTCTGTAGTTTCCTGCATCTAGGTGTGAGGCGTGGAAGTCCAGGGTGTCCAGGTGTTGCGCTCTGTAGTTTCTTGTATCTAGGTGTCGGACGTAGAAATCTAGAGTGTCCAGAAAAGTGTGCAACGAGCGACGGTTTGGCGCTTCGCTCAAACTATAGTATCCTCTCTGAGTGTCACACGTGGAAGTTCAGGGTGTTCAGGTGTTCCGCTCCGTAGTTTCTTGTATCTAGGTACTGGATATGGAAGTCCAGGGTGTCCTGGTGTTCCGCTCCACAGTTTCTTGTATCTAGGTGTCGGATGTGAAAGTCCAGGGTGTCCAGGTGTTGCGCTCCGTAGTTTCTTGTATCTAGGTGTCGCATGTAAAAGTCCAGGGTTTCCAGGTATTCCTCTCCGTAGTTTCCTGTGTCCAGGTGTTGGATGTGGAAGTCCAGGGTGTTCAGGCATTCCGCTCTATAGTTTCCTGCATCTAAGTGTCACACGTGGAAGTTCAGGGTGTTCAGGTGTTCCGCTCCGTAGTTTCTTGTATCTAGGTACTGGATATGGAAGTCCAGGGTGTCCTGGTGTTCCGCTCCACAGTTTCTTGTATCTAGGTGTCGGATGTGAAAGTCCAGGGTGTCCATGTGTTGCGCTCTGTAGTTTCTTGTATCTAGGTGTCGGACGTAGAAATCTAGAGTGTCCAGAAAAGTGTGCAACGAGCGACGGTTTGGCGCTTCGCTCAAACTATAGTATCCTCTCTGTTGTTCGCACGGCCTGAGGTACGTAAGTAATCCAGCACACTCTCCTCTCTTACGTTTACCACAGGGCTTCAACAAGCTGGACACCATTAACGACGCTTCTATGCATTGAAGATTACATTTTCTTTAAAAATTTGTATATATCTTTATGCGATTCTAAAAAAAAGGGACTTACAAATTATATTTATATGCCATTAAACATTTTCGACGACGCAATATATTTTTCTGATTAGCGACATCATAATCCATTTACATTTTATATCTGTGAAAATATAGATTTCAGTGCTTAGAGCTTCTATGTCCCGTTGAACAACAAAAACTTGTGGTATCTACGTTCATTATGCAGTCATCAAACTCAAAACCAATGTCAACTTTCTATATACAGCTTATTAACAATAACTCGTCAAAAATAATCACGGTAAAAGATTAATAACAAACATATAGTTTCAGGATACTATTAGTACGTTCAAAGTAAGTACTTTGGAATTCCTGGCACGGACCCGCCAAGTTGTACTCGATAAGGAATCACCTAAAGTTTTACTAATTATTAAATGACCATTAAATCATAATCAACTACGGGAAACAGTAGTAATGTAAAAGAGTAGTGAAAACGTTATAAGAAATTTTGAAAATACAATTAAAATAATGGGCCAGTGCTAGATCATATAATAGGCAAACATGTAGTGACTTATGTACTTGGCCTCAATAATCTGATATCAATACTTTTTATTAGAGGAATACACAGCACTCCTGTACTTGGCGTAGTTTTTTTACACGTAAGTGTTTTTTTGGGGGATTACAATTACTTGACTAGCATCAATACATTGTTTGAGTATTTTATGGACAATGCATTCACAGAATAACTTTCGAGTTTGAATATTGTACGTGTGACTATCAAAAAGAAATGAGAATCTAAATAAAAGAAAAAGTAAAGGAAAAGATAATTGCTTGATTTCCTTGATTATTAAAAATTCTGAAACAGTTCTGGGAAAACCAAATAATTCGAAATGAGAAAATGTCGACTGGTTTGCACATTGCGCTTTCTTCTAATACTCATTATGCCATTGTTTATACGTATTTTACGTATTAATGTCTACATTACATAATCACAAAAATTATTGTATGCAATTTCGATTTTATCAAGGAATCAAGTGCTTTCTATGAAAAACATCGTGTTGTTTTCTCTTTGTGAGATTCAGCAATTGTTTAAACATTGGTTTATGCGCATAAGAAAAGTATCACCAGACTACAACGATACGCATATCAATAAGAGAAAAAAGTGAAAATGCATTATTTTGCATAAAAGTGCATTTCGCTGACAGTGTATATTTGAAAAATCGTGCAGTATAATATATCTAAGGAAAATATATGTGAACCACTTGGATAATCCAAGGACTGTCCGACTGAACAGGTCACAATTGCGATAAATAACATTGAAAATTATTTCGCAATAAATTGATACAGTAAACGCATAAAGAATTACACGTGACACGACGACAAGTAAGATCCGACTGCACAAATAATGAATAAAATCTAAAAGACATTAAATTCGTAATAATCGTCACAGTACGAAAATATCACAAAGAAATGCTTTCGTTTAAAAAAAAATGGTCGAGTACAGGATTGCTGTACATTCCCCTAACAAAACATATTAAAACCACATTCTAATGTCAATTACATAAGTCACCCTAAATCTGCTTATTATAGATCTAGCAATAGTTCATCATATCAAATTTAAAAATTGTCTATAACGTGCTCACTACTCTTTCGTGTT